TTTTTTTTTTTTTTTTTTTTTTTTTTTCAAGAAATAATAAGTTTAGATCTTCTTATTGAAACGCAGAGATCATAAATATATTTATATTGATTCGATTCATCAATGTAATTACAATGACAAGTAAAATTTTATTACAACAGTAATCGATGAAGTGAATTGGAATACTTAAACTGTAAAACTGTAAAACGTCGAGACTTTTACAGAGTATTGAAAAAAAGGGGAGGAAGACTTTGAGGAAGAGGAGTGAAGAATGTTTAATCGATGCAGATTCTAAAATTAATACCTTCGGCGTAAAGTGTAATTTTATAGGTTCTTGTAGGAATGCTTAATGAGCTATATTTACTCCACGACAATGTAGTTGAGTTGATAATGAATGGGAAGTGTGTGTACACCGTGAGATGAAAGGAAACTGAATAGAAACTTCACACCTACGAATATTAGTCTCCGAAATAAATATAAACACATTACTACTATAAACTTTTTTTACACACTGAAGGTGATCATTTTCTTCGATTAAAAAGTTCTTCTTGTTGGAACAATTCTTTGTCTGCTCAACGTATAATATTCCCATGTCGTCTCTGCCACTTCTCAACAAATTCAAATCACACGATAGATACATAGAAATTAATTGTAGAATATATTTCTTTACCACAATGACCAGTCATCTCTCTTCATATCAAAAGTCATTCAAGTCCTCCACTTTCTTTCTTTCAACACTCTGGCGTAATAGCAATTACCTGAATTAACCTTTTGCACTCCAAACTATTTTCCAATTATTTCCTTTTCCTTTTTCTCGGCAATTTAAAAATATCAAGCGTTCCTGTGATAAAAACTGACAAAGGGGTGCAAAGGGTTAAAACTAATTTACAAAAGCTTGTAAATAATTCTGTGCTGGGTTAGTACAACTGTTTTCGTTAGATCAATCGAAACAGGCCGAATCTATCAAACGACCGTCGTCATTTCATTGAGGGAAACGAGTTGCGACAGCCACGGCTAGTCTATCGTTTAACCGAGAGAGGGTTGGTTGGTTAATCGTGGAAAACGAGCGTGAAAACGTTTCAATAATTGACACGTACTTCCGATGAAAGGGTTCAATCCTGATTCCCGTCTTACGATGATCGAAGGGAACCCGGTTATGTAGACGATCCCTCCGTCCATGAATGTCGAATGGGGTGCAACCACTAAAATCGGTGCCTCCGCCCTCGTCGCCTGTCTTCCACGCACAATGATTCTCATTCCTCCTGCTTGGTACGTCAGCCGGCCCATAAAGCACAGCCAGGGCACTATTTTGCTGCAGGTTTCAATTCGAGCATGATTAACGCAGTGATCAACTGCTTCGTTTCTCATTTCTCCAACATTCGTTATACAACAGATTTCAGGGAATTTGACATTAATCGCTTATCAATCGATATCGATTTTTCACTTTCCAGAGATTTCTCTTTCCGTTCGTTTTTTTTGATTGTGATGCATTTTTGTTGCATGGGATGGTTTGTTGATAATAGAAAAGTTTAGGAACTTTTAATTTAATCCTTCGTACTCCACTTTGCAAACTGTTTCTTCCGGCGTTTGTAAAATATTACCGAATATATACGGGAGGAATATACTGTTTTACTACTGTGTGAATAGATTTTATAAATATATAAAATCTTCCTCCTTCGCGAGAATTTGGTTTGAAAAAGTTGCATAAACTTTTGCTGCAGTTAAATTTAAATTTCGCAATCTTTTAGTCGTACGATGGATACTTGATGAAACTTGTTGAAAATCAGGTCGTAAAAATTTTCCAAGTTTCGAAAGAGCATTGAAGGATTAATAGGCTAGAAAGATTATTGAGAAAATATTGCAGCTTTTGAAAATCTCGCGGTCCGGATGTTTTGCAAGGAGGACTCGTGCTCGAACGTTCCTTTGATCTTTTTCGAGAGAAAACGTGACTTATTCTGAAAATCTCGAGCGTTAGCGAAAATTAAATTGAAAATTCTCGTCTATTTTTCCTATATTAATGTTTGAAGAAACGCAGAGATTCATTACATAATGTACGCTCGCAATTGTCGTATGCACGAGCTCGCGATTGCATATTCTACGAAAGTGATTTACAAGTATGTCGACGTAGGTAATTATCGTCAATTAACATCTTCAATATTCTTTACTCGCGCGAGCTTATTCTCACTAAAACCTAAACGATAATCGAAAATTGAAAATGACAATAGGCACAAGTTCTCTCTTTTTCTTTTTTCTTTTTGACAATACCTACTTTGTAATAGCACTTTATAATAGTTCTTTCAGAATTTTTTTTTTTTATCAAGATGGACAAAGCTGTTTGCAAAACGAGAAACATGGAAATTATTTATTTTTCATCTCTCAAACATGTAGACCATATTGGCCTATATAAGAGAAAATACCGCGATCAGGTTTATTTGCACAACTTTGCAGTGAAACTTTATGACTTCAGAGCCACGTGACGAGAAAGTTTACAGAACCGTGAATTCGTTACTCTACCCGACAATTTTCATGTATTACATTACAATACTTAGAAGATGTACTTCGAAGCAATTAACCCTCTCGTGCTCGATATTCCGAGTGTGCAACAATGTTCTTTAATGAGTTGTTAATTACTTAGATGCATCTGTTTCAACAAATAAATAAATAAATTTTAGTGCATAACGCGTACTGTAATTGTTTGTTATCGTCATGTGTTACCAATAATTAACGTTTAATTGTTAATTAATGTTTTTTTCAGAGACTTGAAAAGAGTTCGATCCTGAAAGAGTTAAAATAAAAAAAAAAAAAAGAAAATGTGACGTTTCTTACGCAATGATTATGTCAAGTTCTGAGATTATTTCAACACTTGAACCACTGGCAATTAATGTTTAAAGAATGAATTCTTAATAATCGTCAAAATTAAAGACGTGAAACTTGTATGTTTCGATAAATTTGGTGTAGTTCTAGTGTTAAGGTACATAAAAAAGGGAGAAAAATTTGGATAATTTGGTAGTTCCAGTGTTAAAACATAGAGAGAAGGAAAGAATGAAACAAAAGGAAGAAAAAAACTTTGGATAATATCCAAAGAGAGTAGAATGAATGAATGAAGCGACTGGTAGCGTCAAAAGCATTAAATGTGTAACACTTTAACCTCGCAATGGAAAATAATGTGCTCCAACTTTGTTCTAGAATGTTAAACAGTATCAGTTAGTTGCATAGGTATGCCCATTATTCCACAGTTATAATTAGTAACAGTATAAATATTCCCATTCACCACATATATACAAATATTTTTTAATCAAGCTATTTTAATTGTTCTTTTCTCTCTTCTATTCAAGTGTGTATGCGTATGATATGGTTTAATAAATTTTTAAATACGCTTCATAATATACATACTTAAAACGTAGCGTTTTTTAAGGTCTTTATTTTTAACTATGAAATAGTTCTGTTCGTCAGAAGAATCACAAGAGATCAATCTGATAATGTGAAACTTTGTAATTTTTAACGAGCTCCTAGTTCTTTTTTTTTTCTTGACAAGCAATAACATTAGGATGTTAGGAGCGAGTATGTACGAATAAAATAGAGCATATAAATATTTGCATAGTGAGACATAAAAGTCGTGTTCCACCATTTTAAGTTTCTAAAAATAATCTAAAATGTCATCACCGTTTCATCCTCGAAATGAAAGGAGAGAAAACCAGATACTCTTTCAATTAAATTTCAGTCGTAAACTGTTAATTCTTTTGCACAACAGCAAAAATAGGGATAAAATAAACATAAAGTTGTATAAATTTCACAAATTACAAGTTCAATATATTCTTTTTTTTTTTTTTAGTACAAAATTATAATTATTTCTAAAATGTATAATTTTGTTAGTTCACAAATATTATTTGTTAGTGAATTACTTCTAATTAATATTTTCAGTAAAGTTAGTAAAATAATAATTGGTTAATTATTACTCGAGGAATCCTCTACGACACCCTTCAACATAATTTTTAAACAAAGCACAAAAATGCAACGAAGTTTATATTATCTTTGCAGAAGAAAATTTTCTTATTCATTTATCTTATATATATATATTTTTTTTTTCTTTTCTAACGAGAAACGTGAATTCCAATAATAGTAAAAAAAAAAAAAAAAAGAAATTCCAGCAGATGGAACAACGACATTGACGAGCTGAGAATGCAAAAAGTGTGAGAGAGACCTACTTCCGAAAAAAGGAATACGTCCGATCTCTGCCTTGGCGACGATGCTCGGCCCGCCGAGGTATACAACCGGAAGTGCGTCGAAGAAGCTTGAATGCGGGGCTAGGGCTAACACGGGGGCATCCTTAGTCTCTGCTTTACGACCTTTGATCTTCAGATGATGGAATCCACCGCAGATGAACAATGCTCGCATCATCCAGCAGATTATAATTCTCATATCTCTGTGTTTTTGTTTTTTTTTTCAATTTCATTTTTTATTGAATCACAATATTATTTCACACACAGCAGGAATTTTTTTTTCTACGTGCAGCAATCTAACTTGTCGTGCAGTCTACATTTCTCACAATTCTACGATATTCAGAATGATCGTAGAGTTTAGTAGAATTTCGTTTACAAATGCGTGATTTGATAGGGTAATTTTATTAAATTGAGAATTTAATAACATTGACTTACCTATCAATCGAAAATTTAATAATGAAACGCAGAATATTTCTTAATTAAACGTTTTATAAGAATTTGTTGTATATAGAAATTTTGAACATATATAAATTTAATATACTCCATCTGGTAATCGAGATTCTACTGTGCTGGGTAAAATTTCCGATTAAAATCGTTGTTCCTTTAGTCAAAGAAAGAGCAAACTGAATTCATCTATACGTGTAATATTTTTTGTTTTTTGTAACACGCGAAGCATATTTTAGACATACGAGATATTGATTTTATAAGAAATGCACAGCCTTTCTTCAAACTGTCCCAAAAAATATATGCAAGGGAAGAGAAATTCTTAAAGAAAAAGCGTACACATTGATTAGTAATCTATTTATAAAAGGTAACATTTATTCTAAGTACATTTATGAAAGAAAAATATTTATACGAATCAAACCCTGGAATGTTTATTGTAAAAGAGATTTTTTTTCCTACGATAAAACTACTACTATTGATTTTCCTAGAGATTACAAGAAGTTCGTAGTATGCTTCTAAATTCTTTATCAGGAACTAGACAGTGACGCTGTCACATCTAAGGAGAATCGTTTTTATTGATTGTTATACGAATAAAGAAAGTTATCGCGTATACTTTTGCTTCATTTTGCCTATGACTCGAGTCACGAAGGAAAATATTTACTTCGATTCAAATTTACAAGCAGTTTTTCCTTTATTACTGGCGTCAAATATTTTTCAGAATTAACTTTAAGAATTTCGATTCTAATCGATCGACGGGTGGAGGAGCAATTACTGATAAAATGCAAAAAAAAAAAAAAAAAAATTTATATACAAGTATAAAAAAAAAGCAACCCTTTTCATTACATTTTTTACAAATTGAGATCTACAAACGTGTAGGTATGTTTCACGCGGATTAATAGTCTGCGTAATGTGCAATGTTCAAAAATGTGTAAAACATAAAATCAATATTGTACTTCTACATCGTGCATGGAGGTTTGCATTTCCAGTTAATAATAAATGATATCTAACATTAGACGTGCCAAGTAGAATAGCAGCTGCGATAATCATTGTTTTATGCAAAAAGCGTTCGCATGCAAGCCAACTTTTTGCCAATAATTCTTCAACTCTCTTTTGCCACGTATTCTTACCGAAGATTTTATTATTCTAAGCAATGCGCATCTGTGAAAGTGTTAATGAAAGTTTCGGTGGCACACTTTCAGTGGCCGTAGAAATCCAAATAAATACCTTTGAATAACTATCACAGTAAAAAGGAACAGAAGTTATTATGTTATAGTCCATCTTGTCGATAATTAGAAATTATTCTTGAAACCGTTGTAACAGAATTTCTAATACCCAAAGTCTGAAATCATCAGTGAAATCGTAATAATGATCGTTCACCTTTCGTCAAACAAAATTCCAAACGATTTGGAAGCAGTGTAAGTAAATATAATTCGGAATAAAATTTTGACTATCGAATCGAATATTTCAAATCTCATTGGGGGAGAGCAGCATTCGGTACTAGAAATGATACTACAAATCAATAATACAAATATCTAATCGCAATTTAATAACACCGGTATGCCATTAAGTTTAAAGTGAGCTTTTAGAATGCCGGTGAACAATTGTACGGGGGGAACTCGTTTTGAAATTTACACGTTTATGTGTCTCGTTTGAGATTAAACGTATATTTAGAAGTACGCGATCAAAGTACGTAACGCTTGTTGTTGCGATTAAATTTCGTGCAACGCGCGCGATCGAAACGCGAACGACAGACAATCGAGAAACATCTCGGTTGTTGAAGCCTTCGATTGTGAGTTACTTCGATTCGAAGCTCGTACAGAGACGGATGCGAACTACTTATCCGACGCATACTTTCTCCTGTTACTTATTCTTTTTATCGTGTTCTTGTTCGTTTCTTCGCCGCGGTCATTCACGCTCTCTCCCCACCGGAGACATCTTCAATCATTCCAAGTGTACGACCATGAAATAAAATTCTTCAAGGGATTTCCGCAATTTATCCTCATCATTTCGTCTGGACGATAATGGATCTTTGCTAGTAGTCATATTTTTATCTCTCTCTCTCTCTCTCTCTCTTTCTCTCTTTCTAACGTAGGGATTTAATATTTGGTTCAAAAAGGGAGAATTACGACGTCGGAAAAAATTATAGAGGAAAAATTTTAGACAAAGAATAAGAGCAAAATGTAATTTGTTTTTTTTTTTTTTTTTAATGATATTTGTCCTCGTATTTTTGACTGAAAGTAAAAATCTTTGAGAGAAGAATTCTTAAATCTTTCTTCCATCTTCTTTATTTCCTCTGCAAATGCTAATCAATTCAAACGTCTACTTTTCCATACTTTTTCTATGGTATACTAATGTGCGATGTAAGTACAGAGTAAATAAAAATTGAGATGCATGTGGAAAGTCGTAATAATCCTATCACGTTTATTAATCTCTATTAATTTCATATTTTTAATGTATATATTCGATAAAATATTTGAAGAATTGTATTTCATTGCTGACAATTATTACAACTACAATAAAAAAAAAAAAAAAATAACAAAGATTTCGATAACACGAATTAAAAAAGAAAATATGTATGTAACGAGCGAAGAACAAGATTTATATTTTTCCTCGGTTATCTTCGAACGCACCGCTATCTGTACATATGTGTAATTGACACTAGCTGAAGAGACGAGAAGCGAATACATTGAACAAATCGACAAATAAATTACCATCCACAAGCAAGCAGAACAGCAGAAGTAAATCTGATTTATGTGCACAGGCATTGCATAGACAACAAGCATGGCCGTCAGATGAAAATGGAATAAAAGTTGAATAAAATGCATCGAGTGCTCGCGGATAGTTCAAGCTACGAAATAAAACGACAGCGAGAAGATGCACAGACGACATACGCGCAAGAAAGAAGAAGAACGTAGGTTGATAGTAGGTTGATCTGTATCTTACCGTCTCCACCCTGTGAGAGGCGCGCGACGAAGATCTTCCTCGGACAATCCAAGAAGACCTAGACAAGCCAGGAGCCAGGCCATGATCACCAGAGCCGTAATCGCGGCCAGTCGGAATGGCAGTAGTGCTACCGTCAGGAATGCCGTCTGGAACATGAAGAGCATTTCCGTTTCAACGACTACCATCAATAGTCTAAAGAAGAAGAAGAAAAAGAAGAAGGAGAAGGAAAACGAAAAACTGGCAAGTTCTTCAACCCTTAGGGAAAAGATTGTACGTCTAGGTATCGATTTTATAGTCATTGCCATGTTCTTCGAGCTCCTTCATATTGTATAGTACTTGTGCATAAGTCACTGATCGATTACACCGGTTAACTGCGGAATTTAGTTTTGAAGAAATCCCTCACGGGATGCGTAATTAAAATCAAGCAATGACGAGTATACACGTCGAGGAGAAATGCTTCTATGATAAATTCTATCAAAGAAGGTAAAGCAAAACGAGGAAGGATTTTTTTTACATTTTTATTCGATGGAAGATTGACGATTCATTGTTGAAAAGATTATCGTTATTAGAAACTTAAAAATTGTCGGGAAACAATAAAATTCATAAATAAGAAAAAGAAATTAAAGGAAAAAAAAAATAATTTTAAGATATACACAGTAAAGTGCAGAAAACAATTCGGAGAATACCAGATGCATTGGTAATCAACTCAGTTTGTAAAAAGTAATACGTTGTACGGGAAAATATCTGATATACCAAAGAGAATGATCAAACTTTTTTTTTATAAAATACATAGCAGTTTTATTATATATAAATATAAAGGAATATACCATCAAATGACATTTTTATTCTTATTATTGAGACTTCTTATTGAAATGTGGAGTTTTTAAAATAAATGGTAATTTTTTATTTTACACGACGAGTATACACGTCGAACGCAGGTAACTGGTTTACAATTTCAATTCGTGATGATGGGTTTTTAATTTGGCGAGAATTAAAGTTTTTTGATATTTTTAATTGGACGATATTTAACCTTGATTTAATTGAAACATCCATGAAATATGCATTGTTTTGTATTTTTCTAATATAATCAATCCAGATTAGATTGAACTAGATAGGATGATAAACTTTGTTTATAAATTAACATACAAATATGAATGATTTATCTGCAATATTCGTGTTGCTTATTATAGATAGATTGCGCAAGATGCAATTGTTATTTTCTGATAAATTTTACTGATATCTTTTCTGTTTGGATCAATTAAAGTTTTATCTGTTCGTGATCAAGACCTGAATAATTACACTTTGATATTCGTCATTTTGTATTTCTGCGGATGGATTATGTAAGATACGATAGAAGATTAAGTATTATCTTCTTGCATTCTTTGGGAATACAGACACGAAGATAGCAATAGCAAATGTGAAGAGGTGACGACAAGTCACCTAGCGACAAGTAAACTAGCAGCATGAATTAACACTAAAACTACTGAGTAAAGCATAAAATTGACATCAGAGACATTAAAGTAAAACAAATAGAAAATGTTTTTAATACAATATAGGGTACACAAGCTTTTATTTATGTATTTTACGAAGAATCATTCAAGTCTCCAAATATACACTGTTTTATAT